TCGCCCCACATGTGGTGTCATCGCGAAATCAAAACATCTGTTGTGGTGTGCTGCCGGCTTGCCACCACGCCTCCGCTGCGCTACTCTGATTTTTCTTGGTCCCCCTATGTCTCCATGTCCAGGCATCCCCATCTGTGGATTCCACCATCCAAAGGTGTCTCTTGGCACAACCTGGCGGCAGTATTGTGTTCCTCCTAGCCCATATCGGCTACTCCACTTGCTCTGTGGCATAGGTCCTCTTCCGCCTTGTTCTTAGCTCTCCCCCACTTTCGATCAAACGTGCATGGTTCCTAAACAACCTACCCTACATTCCTTGTACCCGTATCTCCATATATGCAGTGGGTTGCAAGATTGTGCCAGTACTCATCGGTGATATTGTAACTCAGGGACTTGTTTTAAGATCATGTCCTCTTACACTAACATAGCTCACGTGTGTATGTTCTCTTGCACTTCCAATCGCGTCTTGTTTATATTTCCAACAGTGTTCCTGGAGATATCCTATCCCTTGTTCCACTAAGGATAATATTTTTCTCCTATCGAAGAAGTTGGACACATGCTTTGGCGTAATCTATTAAGACTCGTCATCTCTATCTCTAAGACTTCCTCATCATCGGCACGTCTCTAGACTCCCATAGTTATCATTCACTCTAGCACAATAGTCTTGATTCTTGTAGTCTCCGGTTTTGACAATTTTTTAAATATTCAACAACTTAATAACTTAGACCACAAACTATAGGTTTCTCTAGTGGAACAAGGGAACTTACTCCTCTCATTCTCTAGTGATCCCAAATAACACGCTAGGACTACACTACTAGACTTAGGTGCTCGTTACTTCCACTAATCATTTCTTTTCAAGAACTTATGCATAAAAACATACCGTGATCATCTCAGCTCATTGAAGATCCTTAGCAACAAGGGTCCTCGGCTATGGTGCTTGCCTCTTGGGTGGTGGTGGTAATGTCTCATCTACTACTCTTGTCTTATGAACTCCACAATCTTTTGGTATGTGACCTTGTCGTTTGCAAGCGACAACATCTAGTATCCGATAATTGTTTAAATGAGCAATTTCTTAAGGTGTCCCAACTGCTTGCACCAAAAACACACCCCATGCCAACACTCGTCTAGGTGCTTCTTTCCACAACTTTCACATAGTTGTTTAGGTGGAACTACGGTTTCTTCACTTGAGATTTCCCAAGTCCTCTTCACCGTTCTCGCATGCACTCTCTTAGCTTGCCTACGTTCTTCTTCCAGCCCGGCTTCCTGTTCTGATGCCTTTTCGATCAGCTCGTTTATGTTCTGGTATTCTCGGACATTAAAACTATTCTTAAGCTCGATCCTCATACCTTTCAGGAAGCTTCGTACCAGTTCTCGCTTTCCCATGTGATGCCCCGCAAACCTTCTCAGCCTGTTAAACTCTTCGCCATACTCTCTCACACTCCGGGTTCCTTGTTTTATATCCTGGAATTGGACCTCCATTTGGTCAAGGGCTTCCCGTGGAAAGTACTTCTTGTTAACTTCTTTGAGGAAGTACGTCCATGTCAGATCGTGATGTCCTTGCGTGTCTTCAACTATGCCTTCCCACCACACTAGGGCAACATCCTTTAGATGATGGACAGCCAGATCTTCGCGAAACTCCAATGGGTACCTTGCTGAGTCAAAGTTTCTGACCAACTGCCTCCTCCAATTGTCAGCTGCAATTGCATCTACCTTTCCACTGAAGAGTTCCGTCTGCATGTTCTTCATGTGTTTCATCATGTCCAAATACGAGGGTCTTTCTCCTTGCACTCTCACATGCGGTGGTGGATGTGGATGATTCACGATGTTTCCCGTTGGTGGTTGTGCGGCTCGAACTTCTATTGGACCACCATTCCTTGGCATTCACCTTTGGTAGGCCTTTCGGTAAATCTGCAACTGCTCCAAGACTACAACATCCACAACCACTTGAAACCCTTCTTTGGAACCCCTATTGATGTTTCTCTTAATTCTTGCTCTACATCGGTATAACTTCCATTCAAACTTTCAGAACATGGTTTAGTTTTAGCGGCACGCTGAGCTGCTCTTTGGGCGGTGGTCATTGTCGAGGCACCGGATGATTTTAAGCCCCGCTCTGATACCAATTGTAACAACCTTGTCCCTAGAATCCTATTTTCAACCATAACAACACTTCTCTTCATTCTTATACTTTCTTTATTTCAATCTTAATCGTCTTACAAGTACCTAAATTCGATGAAAACCAAACAACATAACAATAGTTTAAGAAAACACAATGAAAACCCTTAAACGAAACTGAAATAGATGGCACCATCCCCACTTCTACTCCTGCACATAGAGATGGCAATTGGGCTCTCCCGTCCTGGACCGCTGCGGGTTCATCTTCTAGCGGGACGCAGCGGGCCTGTCCCGCGCGGGATGCGGTTTTGAAAACAGCGTCCCAATCCCGTACCGCATTTCTTGTAGGCCTTCGCGGTCCATTCCGCGGGACATGTGATAATATGTGCAGCTGAACGATTCAGACTCCTCCGAAATGCTTTAGGCTATTTTAGAACATAGTTCAAGTCGTCGATTGAACTGAACATAATTCATCAATCATTGATTTGCTTATTTTTTTTATTCAAAACAATAATTGTAATTATTTGTATCACAGCTAAAACCTATTAACATACAAAGTAAAAATAATTGCAGAAAATATTTTTCATTATCTTATAAATCATAAGTTCATAACCAATGTTTCAGTTTGCTGAATCCAAAAATTAAATAAATTGAAACACTAAATCAAAAATGTCAATCCCAAATTAAATAAAAAAGAAACCAAATCAAAACACTACTAAAGCTTGAATCGTCATCGCTGGAGCTGTAGTCGTCATCACCGGAGCTCGAAGCATTATCACCGAAGCTCAAATCATTATCATCGCCCGATCTCCTTATGTTTTCTCAAGGGAAGTCACATGAATCGTCTTCTTCTCACTCATTCTCTTATTTTTTTCATGTAAAACAAAAAATAAAGAAAAAAAAATGCGGGTCTTTGTAATTCCGCGGGACCCGTTTCGGCCCATCCCGTAAAAGACCCAATCCCGCAAAGACCCATCCCGCAAGGCCCGCAAATTTGTGGACCTAGAAAACCTCGTCCCAATACCGTCCCGCGACAGTTCTTAACGGGCTAGGCCCGCGGTCCAGATCCATAATTGCCATCTCTACCTGCACCTCCTCGATCATACCTGCAAAAAGGAGAGTGAGTAATTGGGATTACTCAGTGAGGGTAGGTTTTAGGAACCTACAAACTCATCTCAGATCACATAACACATCAAGCACAAGTCATAGGTTAATATCACCTAGCATTCATCTACAAGATTCTCTAGACTCTCTAATCCACGAGTTCTCAAGCTAATCACCATACACCTCATGACCTTACACGACTTCACCATTCCCTGCCAAACCGGCACTCGCCAAACCGACACTCGCCAAACCGGCACGCCAAACCGGCACTCGCCAAACCAGCACTTGCCAAACCGGCACACCAAACCGGCATTCGCCAAACCGGCACTCGCCAAACCGGCACTCGCCAAACCGACACGCCAAATTGGCACTTCGTCACACTACGACACAACCTCATATCAATCGACGACATTATAACGACCTAGTCTCATCAACTTTCAATCTTAACCAGGTTCATTCTTATCATCATTCATTCTTATCACACAACCGATTATCCTTTAACATCCTAATATGTTCTAGGTTTTTTACTCACATCATCAATCAACGCACTTTCATCACATCAACACAAACAAACAACTAGATCTAAGTTAACATTAACAAGGACTAACTCCCTGAGGTATTATACAACATGAGAGAAGTTCATGACCGGGTCCTCACCTTAGCCTTACTCGATGTCACAGATCCAAATCCAAAGAAGAAGAACGTAGCAACACAACCACAGATCTGTACTTTCACGCTCAATAGAAGATGGGAAAACGGATTAGGGATCAGATCTATTACACCTAGCGACAAATCATGAGAAAAAAGAAAACATGAGATCTGAGGCTTACCTTTCAGATCTAACTAACAAGGAGAACGATGAAGAAGAAGAAGAAGAAGAAGAAGAAAAAAATCGGCGGTGGTGGTGACTAATCGGAGATGGCGGATGGCAACTCGAGCTAGGGTTAGGGCGACTTGGATCTTGACGGCTGATGGTTCGGGATCTCTGCAGGGCTTTGCTTCTATTCTCACTGCAGAGAGAGGGAGGAGGAGACACCTCCTTTTATAGGAAAAGAGAAGAAAATCCTAGGGTTTTCTCCCTTTTGGGCTTTAAGCAAT